CCCCCCCATGCCCTGAGGCTCCTGGTTCCTCATGCTTTCTCCACCTAAACTCATCCATCACAACTTATCAGCAGGCTGTCTCAGGTGTCTCACTCCCCGAGGGACCTCCTCCCTGCCAGGTGAGAGAGCAGCGAGCTGACTGCCCCCTTTCTTATGTAATTGTTTTCGTCAGGTCTTGACACAAATAACAAAATAATTCTCCGTGTAAATATCTAGCTCATTTCACCCAGGGCTGAGAAACCCCTATGTTTTAGGACGAGTCCAATGATTCTCTCTACCCAATCAGACGACACTTGAGAGTTTTCCAGGGAGCAATTCATTGGGGTGGGGGGTGGGGGGGTACTCAGCAGTCACCGTGGAGGTAGGGGGTCACCAGCTTCAGAAACAAGGAGAGGAAGGGGACGAAGTCTTCAGATCAGTGATTGTTAAAGGATGAAGGCCGAACCACTCAGGTAGGCATTTCTGCGGGATGGTGTCTTAACCAACACATTCCACATTCCACAGTTTTGCCTGACAAGGCCTTCACTTACGAAATAACCACTCCCTGTTTTCTAAATTCTGTCCTGGGCTTCTCTGATTTCTTGGAAGACCTGCCCCAGGTGGGCAGTTCCCAAACCCAGGCTTTGGGGGTGAATTTTGGCTGTTCTGGCTTTGCGATCTTGAGCAAATAACATCCGCAAGCTTTAGGCTTCTCCTCTAGGTGATAATGGTGATAGCACGTCTCTTCTGAGGGATTTTACATAACACAAGCAAAACCAGCATAGTGCCTGGCACACAAGAAGCATTCTATAAATGTAATTAGAAACCAGGCAAAATGAACGGACTTCCCAACCAGTCCCTGAAAAATCTGGAACAAGCAGCATTTTCCCTAGCAGACTCTAGCCTGGCTCTGGAAGGAGCTATGGCTCCCTTCCATGTCTGTTACAGAAGTTGACAGCAGTCTGCTGCTGCCCTGAGAGATCTCGGTAAGAATCAGCTGACACACAAGCAAAAACCAGCAGAGCAGTAACCCCTGTGGGTAAGAGTGGGTAAGGCCAGACCGCAGCAGGTGCACAGACATCCACAAGGAATCGACCAGCTGAACGTGAACATGAACACTGGGTGGAAGTCACAAGTGCCATGAGCCTACTTCTCAAAGTCATACGAGTTGCCAAATCAGTGGGATTGGAAAGGAGTTCCTCTTTCCAAGTAACTGTGAGAAAGTTCACCTGATCACCTCAATGCCTTTGCTCAAACAGTTCCCTCTGTCTAGAATATCATTGCCTCTGCTCTCCAATTTGGGAACGCCCAGCCTTCAGTCCCCTCATTCTCACAGCCCATGTGGTCACACCATTGATTTTTATGCTAAGCTTTCTTTGCCGTGTTCTGTGCCAGTTGCTGAAGGATGGCATCTGTCACCTCCGTCCCCTGGCGGGATGGAGGCTGGGGTTTAAGACCTAATAGAGTCTGTACAGTCCAATGAAGATATAATGAGAGCCACACTATGATCTCTAATTTTTCCAGTAATGCTTAACAGTTACTAATTAAATGTCACTTAAAAAGAAACAGGTGAGGGGTGCCTGGGTGGCTCAGTCATTAACAGTGTCTGCCTTCGGCTCAGGTCGTGATCACAAGAGGAGGGGGAGAGGGAGAGAGAGAATCTGAAGCAGACTCCCTGCTAAGCACAGAGCCTGATGCTGGGCTTGATCAACAACCCTGAGATCACGCCCCAAGCTGAAACCAAGAGTCAGATGTTCAGCCGAGCACACCTCCCAGGTGCCCCACTTATAGCAGGTCTGAATTCACACTAGGCACATTGCCAGTGCTCAAGAGCTGCTTTGGGCTACTTACTGAGAGTTACCAGATTGGACGATGCAGATATAGAGAGATACCTGATATTGAAAGAAACCCATTAACAAACAGGAGACCCGTAACACTCTCACCAGGGTCCTGACCTTAGGATGTCACCCTCTATGTGAAACCTACCTCGACTCTTCAGGAAGCCCAGCTCTGTGAAAGGGGTCCCCGGTGAACCTGCACTCTGGGCTTTCCTGGCATCCTGGGGTCCCCAGCTATGGTAGCATGTCAGGATATTCCTAAGAGCAAACATAGTAAAATAATCAATAATAATAAAAGCTTCCATTTCCTGAGTGCTGCCATTTCCTCATTTAATCATCAGAATAACCCCAGGTAATGTTACTATTTATTTATTTATTTATTTATTTTTAGATTTTATTTGTTTATTTGACAGAGAGAGAGCACAAGCAGAGGGAACCCCAAGTGGAAAGAGAGAGACACAGACTCCCTTCGGAGCAGGGAGCCTGATGCGGGGCTCGATCCCAGGACCCCAGGATCATGACCTGAGTTAAAGGCAGATGCTTAAGCAACTGAGCCACTCAGGCACCCCTATTAATTATTTTATTTTATTTTATTTATTTATTTGAGAGAATGAGAGAGAGAGAGACTGAGAGCAAGAGATCGCATAAGTAGGGGAAGGGGCAGGGGCAGAGGGAGAAGCAGACTCCCCGCTGAGTGCAGATTCCCGAAGCAGGACTTAATCCTGCGACCCTGGGATCGTGACCGCAGCTGAAGGCAGATGCTTAAATGACTGAGCCACCCAGGTCCCCCCCAACTGATGATGTTATTTCCATTTTATAGGTAAGGAAAGGAGCTGAGAGGAATAATCCTATGCCTAAGGTCACAGAGTGACAGACTAGATCTTCAGGAAGGGCTAAGAAGGCAAAAGTCAGGACTGAGAGCAGGGGACTGGGGCTGCCCCTGACTTTGTTTCCTTGTCTGTAACCTACATTAACCATACACCTCAGAGGGTGGGATGTTCTGACGAATGAGAAGCCATGGGTAAAGCACTTAGCATGTACCTGTGAGAGAACCACTGCTATTATTACCATGATTATCGTCTGATAATGTCATGATAGTGCCGTGATTATGGTACCAGCGGACATCAAAGAGCAGAGACTGAAAGTTTCCGAAGGGAACAGAGATGGAGAACTAGGACTTGCAAAATGAACCCCTCCTCCCCAGTTGCATCTTTGCCCCAAGGTGGGGGCCTTCTCAGTTGTAATTTTACACCGATGTCTACACCCTGCTGGAAAGGAGAAAGAAACCCTGAGAGTATTTGCTCTGCCTCCAAAAAGGAGTTTTTTCAGCAGCAGCTGGAGAGGTGAGAAGGCTGCAGAGATCCTGGGTCCATGGGGAGAG